AACTTTAATTCAGATATCATTCTCCAATTCGATCACTTCCTATGCCAAAAATAGGTCTCAATATGAGACTAAAACACCGGAGCATAACTTTTCGGTTGGAAATTGATTTGTGATCATCTTTTGACTAAATTTGATCACCTTGACATCTTCCTTTATCCAATTGACTCCGAGCACTCTCAAATCTTCATAGTAAGATTCGGCACAACTAAGCAAACGTGCATTGCACGTTGCTTGCACCTAGTATAATTACATTTGGTCAATGCCCAATGTTGGAAAAAAGGGATTCACTCAATTCTGAATAAAATTGTTGTTAGAATTCTTTAGCGGCAGGGTTGGTTACATCTGAAGGTTGTTAAATCGAGTAGTTCACAGGATTTGGTGAATCTTTATAGTTGGAAGAGTCGATTTATATGGTGTCTTTTTGAAGCGTGAGAATTGTGTTACATAATGTCAAAATCAGAAGTTGATATGCACACGTTTAGAGAGAGTGATGCAAAAAACTTAATCCCGTAAGTTTATTCGTTTATTATGATATCTTCTTCTGAAAACTGGTAATGGATTCAAATTCATTGCTTTCGCTTATATAAACTAATACCATGATAATAATGGAATATAGTTTATCTAGAGGTAAATTGGGTTGTGCCTTTGTATTTTTATGGGTTGGAACCTAGGTAACCAAGGGCTTTTAATGAAAAATTTGATTAAACTGTTCTTTTTTCCTTTGGAATTCTGATTAACTTCAATTCTAGCTAGATTGGTCTTAGGTTGTACTGTCAATAATATAAAATTAGGCCAAAGTTTGACAAACCCTTCTCTTTATAATCTTCTTGTTGGTAGGAATATGTGTCGTTTGGTGTAATTGTACGCAAAAGTCAATTAGAGCTTCTAAGCGATGCCTACATTTCTATTGTGGCATTGCATTGGAAATTAAAAATCACACACACACACACACACGCACACACGCACACAAGAAATACATTAGTATATACACGCACGAATCTTGTCACATGTATATCAAAATTTACATAATGAATTATATAATACCACATGACACTCTACAATTTGTCAATTTAAAATACAGTCAATTTTTTCATTCAATATTTTTTATCCACATCATATTATGTAATCCATTATTTACATTTTTCATTTACAAATAGTACAGTTCTACACACAAATGTATACATGCATGAATATTAAGGGTAAAATATTCAACGCCGCTTAAATATGTAAACAATCATCAATGTGTAGTGCTAGTTTGAATTACTCTTCTCAAGTTCATATTTTAAAATGCAAACTCGAACCCTCAAAAAACTTAAATCAATAGTCGAATTTCAAAATTAGTTTTCTCAAGACTTGAGCAGCTGCTTCTAATAACTTTGACCTTTTTAAAATAGAATTTCAAAATTTAATAACTTAGCTCGTTATATTTAACAATACAATGAACAAAGTTTTAATTTGTTTTTATATATTAATTTTTGTTTGGTTATCTGGTGTGAGATTTAGGTTTGTATTTTAGTTTAAGATTATGTTAGATATAGTCAAAAGTTGGTGTTTGTACTAATATTGGCTTTGTATTTGGAATTTTCACTTTGTTCTTCACTGGGTTCTGAGATTTTTTATTAAAATCTTTTTCACTTACTTTTAGATTAAATGTCAAAGTGATAGATATACGAATCTTGTACTAAATACGAATACTAAAGATCTTTAAAAGACAGAGTCATAGAAACTGTTTTGACATTAGGAATTTAGTATTTTGTTGTTTATGGGACAGACTGTTGATGTACGTCTTTGTTCTTGAAGAGGTACAATGACAGTATAAATTATACGAAAAATAATTTCATTCACGTTTCAGTGTCTATTTGACACGATTTTTGAAAGGGAAAAATTTATAAATAAGGTGTTTAATTTACACTAATTCAAAAATCATGTTNAATATAATATAATAAACCCACCTCACATGCACCAACTCCACCTCTCCGGGGACTCTTCCAGCGACCATTCCGACGACTGCGACCATTTCAGCGACTATTTCGGCAAATCATTCCGGTCACAGATTTACAATTTACGGTCACAGTTCAAAAATTTTATAGGTCACGTTTAATTCGTTGGTCACAGATC